TTAAACCAGTAGGACGATTATTGCTGCAGCCTGACGGGGCTCGGACTTGCCAGTTCTGGCACAGGGCACAAGGCTGCTGGTTATTATCAGTCAAACACTTCAAATGCGATTTTACTTTAGGCCACCTTACAAGGTGCCATATCAGGCCCCAGACAGGCAGGCAGCAAAAGGCCAATTTGGAACAGAGCATGGGGAGATAAATGGAACAAGCCCCGAGCTACTTTTGAAATGTTAACATATTTCTTTTTGCTCTTGCTTGAGTGAATGCATTTCCGGGGGAAACCACAGTGTTCACCCTGCACACACACCAAAACGTACTATATATCAATCACACACATTGGCCCACGGAGTTGGTCATTCTGTGACTAATAGGTCAGATGTGACCACTCTTTGTACATTCCCTTCAGTCATGCATATCTGAGCGTATAAGAACAAATAAGGTACACAGACACCTTGGTTCCAGTCCACCTCTTTCATTTCCTGCTATATTGCTGAGGTAGGGAGCAATTGTTCTGCTACACAGCCCATCTCCTCCCTCTCTTACTCACTACACCTTGGAGGCCTTTCACAAGGGAAGAGAATTGCAGAAGTGAGGACGGTGGCTGTCTTTTAAAGCATTCAGGGCTTTTGACTGTACGACATGCTGAGAGGGATGGGTTTACAACACAACCCTAATTATTCTGCTGCAATAAAGTTATAGTAAACAAAGTGTTGAAGGAGCTTTCTTACCCCTTAGTGTTTTTCCACATTTTGTTAAATTATGAAGACAAGACCTGAAGCTCAGGTGGGAAATAGTGCATACAGGCCAATTCCAGAGATATGGTCTTTATGAGAGACTGATGAGAAGAAAGTTATTGTTAAAAGTTAAATCTAAGTAGTTTCCATTGCCACAATCCATGGAGGGGTCATAGCAGATATGTGGAATAATGTGTAAGATAAGACCAAAGTTTTTTTTTTTTTTTTTTTGCCTTACATGCAAAAGACAATGTGTGGCAAAAAAAACCTGAGACAGCACGTCACCTTGAGCATACCATTCCCACTTTGCTGGAAGATAGATGGAGGTAAAGACAGGAAAATCTTGGAAGAAATCCCATTAGATTTTGTAAGACTGAGCCTGGAATGGAGGTTCACTTTTCAGGAAGATGAAAAACTCCATACTTATATTAGGCATAAATTTAATTGAAAACCGGTGGCAAGACTTGAAAACCCCTTGAAAACCCCTTTATATTTTTACGGCGATATAAATTTCTTCTAAATTAGGAAGAAATTCAGTCTCTGCATGTCACAAAGTAAAGAATATATCCTGTTCTTTTCACATCCCAATTATGTTTTGAGAAACTAAGAAGTGCTCTGTAGCTAGCTCTCGGTGCTAATTACGATCTTGTGCCGGCCAATGTGAAACACTGAAACTTTATAACATTAGTTTGGTGTGATGTGCCAAAATCTACAAGGTTGCACATTTAGAAAAAAGAAATAAAGTGCCACCATATAGACTTATACATACTGCAAACTAATCAGCAAATCAAAATTGTTTTCATGTTTGGGCCAGCAATTAATTTCTATCAGACAAAATGTAATATCTGAGTTTACTGTCCATCAAAACCACAACCTCAAGGTTCTCCATTGTTAAGTGTTGCTGCAAATGTCGTCGTTGGAGCATCAACCTCAGTTCCTGCACGCTTGGGGCCTGCCCATGTTCCCATGTTCCTATGTTCCCATGATCCCATGTTCCCATGTTCCCGCCCGTCTTCACGACCAAAATAGAGAGGAACACACTCTCGAGCCACAGCTTGTTGTATGTAAAATACCAACAAACTTTCATAAATTAAATATTCACTTTCTGATACTGCTTCTGTGTTTCTGGTATTAGGAAACACATTAGTTTCCTAATAGTAGTTAGCATATAAACTGAGTGCAATGATTGGCGAATCCCACTGGTTCTCTGATTTGAACCAAGAACGCACTCAGCTGTAGCGTAACATCTTTATGTCCCGAGAAGTGGAGTCAGAATGAAGTTTTAAAAAATATTGCATAGGCAGTCCAAGGTTGTCATTTGTTATGGTATTGTTTCTTTCAAGTTGGTAAACCTGGACACTTAAAACCGATTAAAAAAAAGTATAACTTTTAATAAATAGCATTTACTATTTTGCATACTTGCTGCCATTTTTCTCCAGAGAATATTGTTTTAATAAACCCTATTTTGAAGCGATACGTAGTCACACTCCAATTAATCAGAAAGAAAGCTTAAATAAGTGGGTCAAACTCTGACCGGCAAAGTGAAATGGAATGAGATATTTCTCCAATCATTTCAAGCAACCCATTTTTCCCTTGATTAGTTTCAGATGTAGTTTCTGCCTCGATTTTGTTAAGTCCCAGCCCACTCACCGCACACGGAGTGATAAGCAGCTTTGGTTGGGGCCGATTGTGTCATGAGTATGCAGGACTTGTTGTTTATAATGTGAATACGACTCCTGTTATTATTGATTCTGTCCGAGAGATGAGCCCTCTGGGTTTTTCTGATGTTTATGCAGGAGAATGGTGATGCTTGCTAAGTGGGAAGGAGACAAAAAATCAATAGGCGAGGTGAAGGGAGGAGAGTGCCAGGCTTCTCTTAGTTCAGGACGTATTTTCGAATTCCTGTTTTTCTCCTCTTTAGAGCCACTTCTGGAGCCTGGAGGTGACGGCGATCTTCCTAATTTCTATAACTGCTGAGTTAGAGGTCTGCATCGGTTGAGAACTAGGAGCTGAAATCTACTTGATAAGTATTTATACAAGGCAGGACTTTTCATGTGGAGGTTATTGTTTCACTCACTGATGTATACAAATGGCCACTGTATACGTTAAAGTACACAGATTTTTTCTCGTTTTCTCATTTTGGGAGGGGAATATTTATTTCAATCCTGACTATTTTTTTTTTTTTCTTGCTGCATCAGAATATCCTTTTCACTCTTTGGGAGTGTTAGCATCTTGGCCATGAAATCTGGAGATCAAAGGCAGTTAAAGCCTAGCAAACATGGATAGGACCAACATGCATGACACTCAACAGAATATTTTGTCAAATATTATTGTCCTTTCCAGTTGCAAATTTGCACATGTTAATAACGCAGTGATAAATGAGATTTGATATATTGTGCAGATCTACTGGAAGAAATTACAAAGCCATTAAGGCGTTGAAACGCCGGCAAACTACTTTCCACAAATTCAGAAAACATGTAACAATAGTAGAGCGGACGGCACACCGAAAGCATTCCCAGAGCGCAACGCATTTTATTCAAGTTTGATTAAAATATTGTACCTAGTCAGTAAAGATGATACAAAGTTTTCAATTTAACTGCTTCTAGTAGAAAAAACGAGAATATTAATGAGGAAAAAAATGTGCTAATTAATCATTTTTAAAAAGTGGTTAAACGGTAACTATCTGCCTCAGTAAAGCAAAAATATAATGTCAGTGCAATTTGCAGAAACTGGGCTGAATCACATAAATCCTTGTCAAATAATCCTAGAGTGGGTATAGAAGGCTGGCTCATCACCACCGGAAAGTGCATAATGCCTCTGGGTGTTCAATGTAATTTTATATTCATTACTTCACTGACGTATTGTGCTGATTCGCTACTTGTTCTTAAATATTTCATACACTGCTGACACTTTGTGATGACAAGTTTTGATTGCCAACATTATTAATCTGTAGAGGTGGAAAGTTTTGAAACCAGAAACTTCTCTCAAAGTTGTGCTCACATTTATTTTAATAAGCCTGAAAATATATCTATAAAGCCTCACATGTGGGAAATCAACCCAAAAGATGACCAGAAGCTCAATTTGAAAAGTAGTAATGAAAATGTTTTACTTCAGGAAAAAACAAAAAAACAACTGTCATTTAGATTGGTTAATCAATGGTTTTGAGATTATTATACTCATTTTCATTCCTTGTGTAATGTCAGTTAATGGACTTTTTTATTCTGTACATGCCTTTTTCACCATGACAGTGGAGCCATAAAAATAACAATCCTTTGAATGGCAGCACCTTGAAACTTGAAGTTGGCTGTCATGAGAAACCTATATATAATTTGAAATGGGAAAATAAAACAAGTGCTGAAATTCTTTTTTAAACTACTATAGAAACATCAATATTTTAGAAAGTTGAGCAAAACATGTCATTTTTTTTTAACAGAAGAAACTGCAGCTCCAGCACCAAGAGAGGCTAAATGAATAAGTGCACCACAAGTTTAACTATTTGAAAAATAGTGTTGATCACTATGCATCATATCATATAAAGTGACCAAAGTGATTCAAAACTCTTGCAGTGTATCTGCTGTGGCAAAAATAAAGAGAAATAAAATGGAAATAAGCCCCCTTTATTCAATATTGATTTACATTTTATATAAAAATTACTTACATTTAATACATTTCTCCAAAATACAAGCAGCCAAACAACATACAAATCAAATACAAAATTATAAAATTTCTTATATCTATCATGTTCATCTTCAGCAGAAACGTGTTTTATAATAACTCCTAACGACCTGTGTGACTGTGGTAAATCACTTCCTCGCCTATATCATTCCATCTGTTGAAATATGAGACCTAGAAAAATATGGTATTAATTATCTGTCCTCTTAGTGAACAATACAGGAATCTGACAGCAAACATTCAACATGGGCCCCGTGTGGAGTATTTCCGTTGAGTGAGCGGAGTTTGGAACAGGTGGTGATGGAGAAGACGGAAGGACTGTGGAATTACATCGTCGGTGAGGAAAGACTGACTGGGTTACGGTCTTTCGTGAGGAGATCCAGCTGGGTCAGAGCAGGAAAAAAAAGACAACAGCTAAAAAAAAAAAAAAATACAAAGCCTCAGCTCACTTATGAAGCTTTCTGGTCCTTCCAGCACACATAGGAAACAAAACACATGAAACACTTTGCAACTATACATACATTTGCTTAGAAAATATGTAGCCAAATCGTCTGGTTTTGCCCTTCAGAAAACAAACCTCGTGTCAATAATCCTTTTAAACTAGAGTCAGCTGTTGGTACAAATTGTAGCACTGAATTGGAGCATTTGAACTGTGCACAAGAGTGGCTTAAGGTGTTAATTTTTTTTTTTTTTTTTTTTTTGCAAATCAGAAGGTTTACTTCGATACAGTTACAGGATAGTGCTGTATAGCTTTGAAATAAAAATGAGTAAGCAAACTGCATATGTAAAATCAAACTCCTGAACACACCAACAAGGATATTATGCTGATGCTAAACGAGAAAAACTCAAGAGCCTCGTAGGAAATAGAAAAATCTTGTTTCCTCCTTTATATTATATATTGTACACTGTGGTAAAAAAAAGAAGTACAAAGTGTAAAGTTAGGCTATGCGGCGGTTTCACGAATTGTCCCCTCTAGTTTCTTTGGGAGTAGCTCTCTCCTTTCATCAATACTGATGACTGGCTTCCGACAGTTTTGTCCGTCGATATAGATCTTTGCATACACGGGGTTGGAGTAATTCATAGGCTGCATTGGGAAAACAAAAGGAAGAGAAAGTAAGGATATTTCCAAAACTCACGTTCCAACAGTGATGATCCTAAAGTAGCAACAGTGAATATGTTTAGATATTTGTTAATGAGCTGTAAGTAGCCGGGGAGGCAACGCTTCACATTAAATCTGGTAAAGTTTGAGACTGTAAGTAGTTTCCTATTTACAATACAAATAAGTCTTAAACATAACACTAAACACACACATTCATCTGGAGTCATGTTTGGTTCCCCCCTTTGGGAAGCTCAATTTTCACTCATTTTATGTCATTTCAGTTTTTAGCACTTCCAGCCTTTATTTGGGTCCCATTTGTGTTACCCAGTAGCTCCTGCTTGGTACAGAGGGAATTACAAAATGAATGTTTATCAAAGTTTGTTTGCTAAAAACAGCTGGCCACTGCACCTTGAACAAACTGATAAGAGCGCATCTGAAAGCTCATTTTCATAGATTTTTTTGTAAAATAACAAAGCACAACATTTTGTCAGAAATCAGTAAGACTGTGTAGAGTTAGGTGCCGATTCTCTTAATTAGGAAAGACAATTAGTGGAAGTTTGAGTCATGCATATTTAAGGAGCGTCTAGGTTTTGAGAAATAAACATGCCAACGACTCGGTGAGAAGAAAGAAAGTCCTTGCTTGCTTAGAAAGCATGCAAGAAAATACACAGATTACATATCCATTAAAAAAGATGGGAGCCTGCGGGTGTTCTACAATCAACTTCAAGGTAATGATGAGCTGAATTTTTGACTTTGCAGAAAGCAATTAGGCGTTTGTGTACTTACATCTATATAACTGCAATACCTTTTTGATATGAATATGTTACACATGCACCACGTGTAGCATATTATCATATTAAAATCAAAATTACCCTGGGTGTTTGGATTTGTTTTTTCCAAATAGTAAATGTAAAAGTTGCCTTTTTATACAGGGTATAAAATATACTATATACTAATCATAAACTAATTTGTTTATCATTTTTAGAATAAAAAAAAGTTAAATTTACCTGTCCAGGAATGACCTCCTTGGGCACAGAATTCATGCCCAAGGCGTGAGGGTCACTGGATTTTACACACCACCCCTGCAACAAAACAGATACCATCTTCTGTCATCACTGCAGCTACATACAGTAAGGCTATAATCTCATTGTTTTGGTGTCACAATGTTCAAAGATCATAATCAGTCCTTTGGATTTAAAACAAATTGAAAAACATCTGAGCAAACAGGAAAAACTTCAAGACGCGAGTTCAAGTCAGCAAATCTCAGTTAATAACAAAGCACGACAGTCCGCACAATAGCAAATGTCAAAGCTGGCAGCGCAGGAAGCAATAGCATTAGGCTTGAGGCTTTAGCAGATGAGCTGTAAACCAGCATACGTGAGGGTGTAAGGATTTATTTGATGTACTGAGTGTGGGAGTGAGGTTGAGCGTTATGGACAGAATAAATCACCAACAAAATGAAAAGTCCTCTTGGCATCTTTAAACAAGTGTTAAAATATATACCAAACCTCACTAACAGTGTATTGTATATTTCTTCAATAAAACAAGAGAGAGAGAAAAAGCAGTGAACACGTCAACATGCGTTATAGGTCAAGAAACGTCGCTTAAAACGGCAAATAAACATTCTAGATTTTCTTGTTCGTTTTTAAGCAGTGCAGAATTTATCGAGAATCAGACAGACGACAAAGAAACATATGGAGAAACATACTGCAAATGTTCAAAACAGATTGCTAATAATAAGTTTACATCCCATAATGTATTAATATGCTGCTCGATCAAATTAAATACTCATTTATGCAACCAGACGAACTCTGTTTGCAAGTGCGCTTCTGGGAGATTCACAGCTGCATCTATGTAAACCCAATTAATCGTCTTCTAAGAATTTTTGTTGAAAGGCGTTTGACAAAAAGATGTAATTTGATTATGCAATCAAATTATTATTAGTAAATTAGTAATCGCAAACATGTTCCTGTTACTGTAATAAAGGACTCCAAATATGACAGAACATGATCTTCTGAGATTGCTGAGCATTGTTAAAACCAAACAAAATACTATGTCTTTAACATACAAGATCAAAAGAAGTAGCCCGTCAGTCTCATCATTTTATAAACATTTTTCACAAAGACAGTTCTGAAAAGTGGAGTGTGTATTTGTATTTATTCTCTTATCTTAAAACTCTTAAATAAAATCCGGTGAAACTAACAACCTTCACCACAGATAGTCGAGTACTTCATCTGTAAAGGTTATAGTTCATTTTAGATTCCTCCTGCAATTTAAATGTGCCAGGCTTTTTGTGAGTTATGTATATAGTAGAAAGAATTAATCTAAGCAGTGAACCCTGTGGTACTCCACAAGTAATCCTGGACTGTGAAGATTTATCATTTATACTAGAATCTCTGCTAAGGATAGATCACTTGTATCTGAAATGGGAATGGTAATCAAAGGAAGCACTTCTTCAAATAATTTTGTGGGGACAGGATTCAACATGGACTTTCAAGAGTTAGAAGAAGCTAAAACTTTTGGGCACAACTGAATAAAATCAGTCTAAACACAGATTACGTTTTTCAGTTGCCTCCAATGAGGACGCCATTATCACGCTCAGGAGGATGTCACTAAATTTTATTTTTAATAGAATCAATTTTGTTTTTACAAAGAATCCCATAAAGTCAGTACTGCTGAGAGTTGGGGGAGTTAACAGCTGTGAGTCTGTGTAAGATTGACAACTGTAGTAAAAAGAAACCTCGGATTATTCCAATTCTCATCCCGTTTCCAGAAACGATTGACTCAGGCAGGCTGAATACAGATACACAACACATTTTAAGGTTTTATTTGTAAAAAATGTTGAAAATTCAAAATTACTTATTGCTGTTTGGACCATTATATAAAATACCAGTGAAGTTCATTGAAGTGTGTGGTTATTATGTAGTAACATCCGAAAAAGTTCAAAAAGTTCGGTGCACAAAAAAAAACATATAGAACCATCATATGTTCTAAAAACACGTATTAAAAAAAATATTAAAAAAAAAAAAAAATAAATAAAAAAAAAAATATATATATATATATATATATATATATAATGAGCTATTTAATGAAGCCCACCTTGTGAGGGTCCAGTGTGAAGTTGGGTCGCAGCAGACTGCCTGCATCAGCATGGTTGTCGTGGTCCACCTCATACATGTTGTATGACGGGTTACCAATCTCCACGTTTATCCCTCCGTTTGTCATGGGCTGCCTCTGCACACGTTTTCCCCTGAGGAGTGTGTGTTTTTGTGTGTGTGTGTCAGAAAGAAAGCGAGTCATTAACATGAACCACAACATCCAGGTCAGCTCACCTCCCAGTGCTGCACACGTCCACACAAGACATCACCAGACAACGCTGGGAGAATATTAACTTGGCTGGGTAGTTACATTCAAAACAGCCAAACAAAGTTCTCAGAATGAAAGTTGAGACTTTCATTCATCTTCAAAGCTGCACATTGTTTGATAGTATCATCACCTGCTGCTTAGAAACCACCCTTTCAATTTTTATCGTTTTATTCCTTTTATCTGCATACCTTTGCCTCCGTCTGCAGATATAAACACCTGCCACCACCATCACGATCAGGATAACCAGCAAAACCAGAGGTACAATGATGGCAATGCTTCCTGGAGGAGGAACAGATGAGAGATGGAGGGAAGTGTTAGAAATAAACACAGAGCTGAGGTGAATTCAGACAGTTACCACAGAAGGTCAACTTTGATTTTGTTCTTTTTAACTTTCAGCTGGCATTACTTTGTTCTATTTACCAAGCATCTGTTCAGATAATATATAATATACCCAGTAGATAAACAGTGAAACAATATAAAACTGGTGCTAAAGTGTGTATTAAAAGTTCATAAAACGTCCAACAAGTACAACTACAAAATGTAACTCAAGTTTACTTCATCAATTAGAAGATAAACCAATGAAATTCAGACCTAGTGAACTGAACAAAGTAAATATGCTCAATGAAGGCTTTTGGATCCATACAATGGTAACTGGTGACTGTTGGCTGTTGTTAGAATGTCACTCAGGCTGGCTGTGCTATGACGGGAGCTTTAACAGATTAGTTTTCAGAAACCTAAAGAAAGTCGCCATAGTAACACACATTTTCACAAAACAACACTCTCAGGGACATGTTGTCAGCTTTTGATTTTTATGTAGTGTTTACTTAATCTCAAAGAGAAGTCCACCTCTCTGACCTGAAGTTAGCTGATATTTCATTAAGTTATTGTAGTTAGGAAATATACTGAATATAATTAGAAATCTTAATGTGCTCTCCAGCCAGCTACTAAGAAGTTCCCACAGAAAAATGTGTCAACTCTTTCTTGTATTAGGATATAAATGGCCCAGTAAATATTATTTTATCAAGATTTATCAATAAGTAAATGTAAAATGTTACTAATTTATTGCTTTTTATTCTATGATGCTATGTTAAGACATACTTATATATCTTGTTTGATTTTGACACTAAAGTGTTTTGTTCTTTATTGTCGTCAATATCTGTCATTTGCTGTCGCAAGTTTCTTCTTATCTCTTTTTATTCATTATCTATCTTTATAACTGATATTCATAGCATCATCAATATTTTATTATTTAAACTTACTTTATAGACTGACCTTTTTTTAATTATTGACAGCTCCTGCTTTTTGATTTTTTTCTGATTTTGTAATGCTGATAGAGAGAGTTATGCCTGCAAAGTTTGGACATACTGTCTTAATTAGTACAATATTAATAAATACATTTAATATGTAATAAATTCTATTTTTTTTTTTTACTGGAGTAAGTTTCCTGTCTTAATGATAGTTACAACAAAGACATATTTCTGATTAATCATCTGACATGAGTTTTAGGTTCGGTTAAAGCAGCAAACAGAGATAATCCACCTGCTTCATAACCTGCAGCTCCAGTCGGATGTGTACAGAAACTCATCATAAGCATGAATGTCGTATTTGTTGTAATATTTTATTGACTTATTTAAACCAAACAGCTGCAAACTGCAATAATAAAAAAAAAGAAACAAGTGAAGTTTGAATTTTTTGTGTTTCCTATAACATTGCATATTAGCTGAAATATTTGCATACACCACAACTAATACTTAGTTCGAAGTCACCGAGGATGTCTCACAGAACTAGATATTTTTCTGCAGCCATCAACCAGCTTCTGGCATAATTCTGGTTGTATATTGGTTTCTTTCCTCATCAAAAATCATAAAGCTAATTTAAATTGTTTGGTCTCTTGGCACACTCCTCCGTTAAGCATAGGCAAGACATTTTCACTCGGATTGAGGATAGGGGGATTTCCAGAAGCTGTTGTAATTAACCATTCTAAAACCCATTCTGACACATCGGGGACTAGGATCCCAAATGCACATGAAGCAAGCTGAAACCAACATTTTTAAATGAGCTCTTCCATTTCTTTTAAATACATTGGTATAACAGCCAGCAGAATTATGCCTGAGGTTTGGCAACAAAAATTGTGGATATTTAATCAAACAGGCATATATATGGCATATTAAACGGCGTTTAACTGAAAAATCTGGAGGTTTAGAGTCCTTGACAAATGGCATTTTGACTAAAAATCTAGATCTTTTTTTTTTTTCAAATTCCAATCTTTTTTTGTTTTAAATCTCTTTCTCTTTCTTACTGCTAAGCACTTTGAAATGCCTTGCTGCTGAAATGTGCTATACAAATAACATTTGATTGATTGATATGTCTAACAAACATCAAATTCATATTGTTTGTTGTTTAATCATCCCACCCTGGAAAAAGTACAATTCAAATAAACCAATTAATACCGTAACTCATTATGACCTTCATGTCCAACAGGACTGCATGATCACATCTCAGAGGTTTAAATGTAAAAAAATGAGATTTAGTAAAACATGGGATTCTTATCCTTATTTTTGTTGATTTCTCCACTTCTTACCTCCACTTGTGTTGTCTGATCTGCTGCTTTTAGGGGCAGGCCTTTCACATTGTGTCCCAGCCCAATTGGCAGAGCATCTGAAGGAAGTTAAAGCAGAATGTGAATAAAACATCTTTAGCTTTGTTTTTTTTTAGTCGACAAAGTGCTCAGGAAACACCTTAGCAAATTTACTACAGTATATGATGTGACAGTGGTTCACATGTGCAACACATTATGAATCAGTCTTGCAGTGAGGTGCTTTGATCCAACAAACACAACACATCACCTGGAGAGAGAATAAGCACTATGTACATCCATATTGTGTCCACAAACAGTGTGCGTTAATTTTCTAGCGTTGATTATTCAGTTAATAAAAAGATTTACGTAAAAAATAAATAAATAAAATGACAGCAGGACAACAAATCTCATCTCATTTGTGTTCCAATGGAATCCAATGGGTGTGATGTATGACCCTTGTTAGAAAGGGTAATGTTTAATTTCACAGTAGTCGCAGATGGGCCCGTAAAGCATGAGTGATCAGGTGGGTGCGGCAGGGTGATGAAATTATTCTAAATTACATGCAGTATCAGAGTCAGAACATCCGGCTATCAAAACTAAGAATTCAGCCCCATAGATGCGGGAAATGAATCCCGCCTTTGTAGGACGAAATGTCAGTGCGACATGAATTTTAATAGGAGGTTGGAGGCAAGGTGGAGTTTGATCTCCTTTCCAAAGTATATACCAAGAAAACAAACTTCCTAAAAAAATAAATAAATCTAAGCTTTTTTTTTAAAGAAAATTACATCAATTACTCGGTTTTGGGATGGGAAATTATGAATGATTCAGGCCTTTACCTGACATGTTTAGCTGCTAATCATGAACAGGATGTAAATACACACACTGATGCTCACATTACACATATACGGCACCATGTTTTATTTCTCCTGGGGTTCACTTGCGCACAGTGAGGACTGCATGAGATGGGCAAATGGGTGGCAGTAAAGGGGCCAACAAAGATGCTGAGTCATGCAGCAACTGACAATGTAATAAGTGCTGTATTAGTTAATAACTGTTCAAGATGTAACAAATACCATTAGTGCCCAGAGTACAGTACATTCACTGACTCTGTGTCTACTGGCGGCTTAATGTAATCATAAGATCCTACTGAAAGAGTGGGTCTGGGGTGGAAACAGGGCTGCAGTGAAGGTTAGAATAATATACATTTAATTTATGCATCTTCCTGGTGAAATCAGAAAGAATATTTCCAGATCTTATTCCACGTCCAATTGTCTCAATGTTCCTTCCATCCTTCCATTAACCCATCCATCCATTCGTCAGAAATTGATGATTGACTTTTGTATTTGCGTCAAAAATGGTTGAAAACGTTCTGAGGAAGTTTTAGTCTGGAAATATATGTTATCTAAACATTTTAAATCGTTTAATTATTTGCTTAATAATGTCAGCAACCACAACCATAAACTGTAACATCTTATATTAAGACTTCAACATTTTATCTTCTAAAACAAAGTTTTGGTGTTAGAATGCTGCAATAATAGAAGAGCAGCTAATCCAGAAAAACACTCAGCGTCCTATGGTAACAGTATGCACTACTGTGCAAATAAATGTCACTTTGCTTCCAAAGATCACAGTTATCAGTGGTCTTCTTTAAGAGGATTTTTCTGTCTTTAATGCCTATTTCTTTGCGCAGATTTTTTTCCTCAAACAAATCCAGATTTTATTTCATTTTGGTACTTTCATCTAAAAATTGTTGTCCTAAAGGATTTTTAAGTGAAACACAAAATACGTAAATAAATACAAAAAAAAAAAAAAATTCTCCCAACATGGTAAGGTTAGTATCCAATGTTCCTAAACTTCATTACCAAAGAAAATAATATTTGAATCTTATGTATATATCTAGCACTTATTACTTGACAGTTTGCTACAAGAAGGTACAAGATTTACCAACTGCAGAGTCTGAAATGATGCTAAATGGAGTGGAGGAGGGTGAGTGTATACAAAGGAGGTGAGTGGGCTCTGAACAAAGCTGGAGAGGTGAGAGGGACCTACTTGCAGCGAGGTTTGTTAAGAGCTGTTAATGTGCACATCCCCTCATTCTGACAGAAGTAATCGCAGGGGTTGGCCAGCTCATCACAACGTTGGTTCTTGAACCCTGAAGTGCAGCTGCAAAACATTGTGTTGGGAGTGATGAAAGGGCCCAGAGAATGTATGTTGTTGAACACTTGGCTGCTTGACGAATGGAGATTGACTCACTAAATCCTTTAAGCACCTTCAGTTGTCAGACGGAGTAATACAGTGTTGCGTTTTCAGAGAGTAAATTAGGAAAATAAATCATGTGAAAACATAAATCTGCTTCTGTAAAAAAAAAAAAAGAAGGAAAGAAGAGTCTCCTCTAAAAGACACGTTATATGAAAGTCTGTTTTGCCACTTTCCAGTGCCAAGGTTTCCAAAGGTTTAAAATATTACGATTTCCAATCTGCTAAAATTTTAAAAGTCTCCAGCAGTCCGACAGCTTTTTATTGTTCGAACACCGAATCTCATTTCTCCTAGTACAGGTTGAACTTGAAGAGGACTACAACTTCTCTGCTGTAGAAGTTATAGAAAGAAAAATGTCTGTTTGTCTAGAGCAGGGGTGTCCAAAGTCGGTCCTCGAGGGCCGGCATCCTACATGTTTTAGTTCTCTCCCTGGTGGTGGTAACAACCTCCTCAGCAAGTCAATGTTATCCTTTGGCCTTCTAATGAGCCATCATTTGATGCAGGTGGGTTAAACCAGGGAGAGAACTAAAACATGCAGGATGCCGGGCCTGGAGGACCGACTTTGGACACCCCTGGTCTAGAACTACAAAACAAAACCCTTCTATTGCTGACGCATGCCTAATGGTTTCAATTATTAGGAAACTTAAATAATAATTGTTAGATTTGAAAGGGAAATATTATCAATTATATTTACCTTGCTTACTGGGTAATAATTTTTTAGACAAGATATAAAGCTCTGTCCTTGAAAAAAGCAAAGTAGTTAATGCTATCTTATAGAATTAGACTTACAACATCTGGAAAAAAAATATCTGTACTTAAGACAGCTACAATATTATGCAAGAAAATGTAAAGAAAGTTCATTATAAGCTTAAATTATTAAAGGTTTTTGTCTAACTAGACAATATTGGCCAATTGAGGATTTCTCGCACTAATAGATTCTTTTCAATGTTTCGTAACTTGTATTTTTTGCAGGGCCATTTTTTTTCTTTTTTATGCGATTAATGCAATGATTATCATCACAATTGAATCAGCGTTACACAGCAGGAATTTTGCATTTGGGGAGCTTGATGAAACACACATTAACTCGGAGGATTAAGGTCAAACTTTATGATTTCTTGACACCGCCATATCCATTATCTCACATAATTTCAAGTCTTTGGAGCAAATAATAAACCGCATTATCAGGATCTGTTAACCTCATCGAATAAGATGGAGTAATTTGCATAGAAATTGATTCTATCCCCTGGAATTCGGAGAGAGGTGACCGCAAATTTCAATTTAACTACAGTGGACAATGAGCATTTAAAAAAAGGGAAAACTAGACAGATGGCTTTTGAAAATAAATTTCCAATTTCCCCCTTGGACAGATTTTCAACACGCAATGAATGCGATTATCGCAGAGGAAGTGTTCATTTTAAACAGCACTGCGAGTCGTCTTGATTCCCTCACACGTGCCACTTTAACTTTTGTCTGGTACAAGTTTTTGAGTTTCATGGCATACTGAAGCAAATATACGGAACTTTTTCTGTTTTTGTTGAAGGAAAAAAAACCTTCTAAAGCCAGCTGCTGAAGACAGTCACCGAGGTCTGACATGAGCTTTAAACGGCAGAGAGGAACAGCATGAGATGTTCAGAATGGCAGGCTTTGAAACAGTTTCAAATAATTTTTATCTGCCTAAACCCTTAAGCCACAGAGAGGTGTCACGCTGCACAGGGTGGTGTACTGGCACTCAGCCCCCTGCTGTTCATTGGCGCTTCAAACAGTGACATCAGATCTTCTCTCAATTTAAAGAGGTTTTTTTTTTTTCTAATCCAAAAAGGAGACACTTATTTTGTTGAGTTCTTGAGGCAAAGAGAAAGATATCCCTTGATAATTTTTCCTCCTGCTCTAAAAGCCACTCTTTCCTTAGCCAGTATTTCAGTAAAACCAAGTCTGCGTGGAAAAACATTCAGCTCTCTTCCCTCACACCTCTTTCACCCATTAGGCTGTAACTTACTGACAGAATGGAAGGCTGGTGTCGGGGTCCAGGTGACAGGTACCTCCATTGTAGCAATATCCATCACACAGCTGACAGCTTGGCGCAATTCTACCATTTGTGCAGCTGGAGGGTGGAGAAATAATTGACTCATGTTACAAGCAAAAAACTATATTTTAACAAGATGGGGGAGGGAAGGAGTTCTGGGTGGTTTTTGTCAAACACATGCATAATTGTTGGAAGAGAAGAGACTTCACCAAATAGCGACATTGAACACATGGTTAGAGGTGTAAAAACTAAATGTTAGCATTTCTACGCTAATCTTTATGCAGACAAAAATAGAACAGAAAACAAATAATTTAGCAGTAAAAAAAAAATGCATATTAATCATACCAGAAATATTAATGAGAATTAAACAAAAGCAAAGCTGCAACATAATACCATGAATGAATAAAACAAAAATAAAAATATATAAAACATGTAAATATCAATACAAAATAATAATATAGAAAATATTACCAACAGTTTTTCCTTGAATGTGATAGTAACCAACCAATTAAATAATCAATTAACATAAGAAATACACAAAAATGCATTGTAAGTAAATACTAACCAAATAAAAGATAAATTATATTGGTAAATTGCTAAGCTGGCTTCTATTTCATTGAGATTATTAGCAGATTAAATGCTGGTGAATTGCTTTAATTCAATCAAAGCAATTCAGAGAGCTTCCAGTCGGTCGGGGCAGCAACTGTGATATTGGGAATATGTTGTTTATTTTCCCCATAAATGAACAGTCATGGAAAAATACTAAAAGACCAAAGCTGAGTAGACAGGACTGACTACTCAGTCGACTCTCCCTTTAGAGAAAATTACTCATGTGATAAAATACCAATAACATGAATTCTATCAAATTTGGCAACCATTTATTGTGAAAATTAAAGTTATACAGTGAATTCCAAATTTAAGATGTAAATAAATTGGAAAGAAAGGTTGGTGTGAGGTTTTGATGTAATTAACATGCTTCTTTTGATGTTTTTTTTGTAATCTTTAATTCTGTTGCAGTATTTCAGCTTGACATTTTGGTTTTGTTCTATTTTGTTATTGTGAAAAAATTGCAAATTGCTAACCTGGCTTCTATTGCACTGATATTATTAGCAGCTAAAATTCTGCAGCAGTGGTGTGTAGACTAAAAGTTTTTCTTTTATTTTTTTATTTAATCAAATCAATACAGAGAGCTTACAGTCTGTGGAGGCAGCAACTGTGAGAATATGCCGTCTTTCCCCATGAATGAACAGAAAATATAAACCCCAAAGATTTCAGCAACAGAAATAATGGACGGGAGTGCCAAACACTCACTTGCAAACCACATCTAAAGTTTCCTCGTTAATAAGGCAGGGAGCCCCATGGCATCGGAGACACTTGTCCACCTCACACTTGTTCCCTTCATACCTTGCGGGACACACACATTCCACATAGCCGCTGCTGGATAACGTACAGGCCTTTGAGTTCACACAGTAGTGATGGCAGATGTCTGTTTCATATCGAGAAGCACAGAAGGAAAGGTTAGTGTATAAGCTGGTTAGATAAGAATTGAACAGGGCTTTAATGGGACTTAATTATCCACATCAAATGACATCTTAGCCACAGATGGAAACATATCTCCCCTTGGGCAAGCAGCAGTGAGAAAATACTAATGATGTGCAACTGGAATTGTTTTCCCCCATCCCATTATGTCAATGCACTGCTAAAGAAAATCCATCACTGTGGAAATGAAATACCCAAAGGATGTGAGATGGAAGAACTCTAATTCTGTTTATCTGCAAATTGAAGCAAATGTGGTGTTTGTGGAAAGATAACTCTTTGGGCAATTGCTTTTGTTTAACACTAAACGTGTGCTAAAAGTATATATATTTTTTTCTGGGAGTTTCATCCCGGGTAGCTGAATACAGATTAATGCTTTGTGTGATTACAAGGGAATGTCAGTTATGTAAAGAGCAGGTTTCCAGAACAATCCACGAGTTGAGACGAAGAACTCACGGTAAAGACAGCGATCCCCGGTGTACTCTGCCATACAGCGGCACACAGGCTGATTTCCCTGAGTGACGTCACATGTCCCCCCATTAAGACAATAATTGTCACAAATCCGCTTCTCACAGAAAGGCCCAGAGTATCCAACAGGACAACGGCATGTAGGCTTCCCTGTGAAAAAACACAGTCAAAGTTGTACAGATCAGTGCCACTTGTACACACAGTTATGATTTGGGTTGTTATAGTCCTCAATTTTCCTTTTTCTAAATGGGCTCGCAAAAACAGTCACACCTCTTTAACTATTTCACATTTATCATAAAAGTCTGTTTTGTGTTTTAATTGGGATTTTATATGATGGACAAAGTATTTTTCTTCCACAAACCAAATTACAATTGGAAACCTTCACTTTCCCATCATGTACAAAAAAAAGTACAGTTTCGGCCTAAGATAGAACGTTTTGTTTTTGTTTGTTTTTTTACATGTTTGTTGAGTTCCCTGTGTGGTTTGTGGAAAACTGCAAATGGACTTCTTATGGCTTTCTGTTATTAGTGACTTCTTCCTATTCTTCCATACAAGTCAAATTTCTGCAGTGCATAAACCATAGTTGTCTAGTCAATAAATTCTTCAAACAGATATTTGGATCTCTGAGGCTTCTCCAGAGTTAAGCCTCCTCCATGGCTGACTTTGCAATTTCCACCCAATAATTTTTTTAGCCGTTTGACAATCTTCTTAGGTATTTTGTGAAGAATCAAACAAATGTATGCAACTCCTCACTGTGTATGATAAATACACCTCAAAAGTATTCATGTTGTCGGCAAAATCAAAAACTGGACAGTGGAAGTGGACTAGTAGCAGCAAAATATCAACACTGCTGTCTGAGCACATTTCTGCATAAAATATGCCCATAAACTTCTCATCAATCACACAACAAATCACCCAGAGCTCTGTGCAAAATAGTTTGGGCATTGAGAAAGGGAAGAGAAAGCCTCTCTGCAAACTAGATAACACAATATTTAGTCATGCAATTACGTCAATTAGAAACAATTTCAATGCTTTGGATGAAGCATGGAAGAGGCTTTACCATGGAACTTCTTTTGGAGTCAATTGTGTTAAGAATTGTGCCATCTCTAACTAAACTACTTTGCAGGAGAGTTTATTTTCACAGCATTCAAGTCTGGGGCAAAATCGAAAGCAAAGAAGTCATGTAAAAGTTATTCAAGGAACTGCCTTTTGGTCTGTACCGGTTAATATTTATGTGAATCTCGAGGCTTCCACTGATTGGCAGCTATGGTACCAAGCGGAGGTATGCTGTTTGACATGTCCTCCAGGCCGATCCAGCTTTTAATTCAGCCAGAAACAGCAGGCATATAATTGCTCCAATGACTTCACATTCTGGCCACAGATTTATTCCTTGTCAGACATGGCTGGGATATTTCCAACAGGGAGGTAATTCTGGAGGCCTCCTAATCACGTCTCCAGATGATTTTTAGATTACACGTTCAGAGACCGGATCATTTCGACTATTTCTTTGGTAATCCTGAAAAGTTTCACAAGTCAGATAATTGTGTATCTGGGTCATTAATTTATATGTATGATTTTACCTAAATGACTGACAGGTATGCCTTAGTGGATATTCAGGTATGAGCCAATTAGTGTAAAGCAAAGTGTATCTGAAAACGATTCAACAGAGGAGTAAGAACTTTTTTATAATGAGCAGCAGGACTTACATTAAGATATGTAATAAAGGTGCCAATGATACAGTTTAATATGTTACGTCAGATTAAAAAGTCAGCATTTTAAAATATCCAATCTTGGTCATTATGGTGAAACTAAATTAACTGTCAAAGATCTGAATGTCCCTGGTTGGCTGAAAACAGAAATAATTTAATATGCTGAGTAATTATTAAATGGAGTCCACATTTGTAGTTTAGTCTTGAGAAAAATAGAATTTATCTGTGAAAAAATCAGAGGTTTGATGGAGAACATTTGTGAAGATTAGTAGGTATCATAAAGACTAAGGAACATACCAGGCAGGTCAGGTCTAACGCTGTGGAGAAGATTTAAGCAGGGATAGGTTATAGAATAACATACAAAGCTTTGAACATCTCACAGAGCTCCATTCCATTCATCATTAGAAAATAGGAAGAATGACACAATGGGAAAATCACCAAACCATGACTGTGCACCCAAACTGACAGACCAGGCAATGGGAGCATTATTCATAGAAGCAGTTAAGAAGCCCACTGTAACTCTGGACTAGCTGCAGCTACCCACAGCTAAGAGAGGACACTTAGTCTTACATTACAAATCTGGGCTTTATGGAAGAGTCACAGAAAGAAGCTATGAGCTATGAGTAGAATAAAATATGTTGAAGTAGTGCTACTTTTACTTGAGTAAAATTTTGGGGTGTTCTATCCCCATCTTGATTTTAGAATATTTTTTCTTGTCCAGGAAGTAAAGAAGTGGCTACAAGACGAATGACTCTGTCTCTTGGACATTTCAAAAGCCATTATTCTAGCTAAATAAATGTGGATTGTGAAATTACATACTGGTGTAGCATGACATAAATGGAGGCTTGTATCCATAACAACGTGGTAGTCCACAATGCGAGAATTTGTCAAGTACCACCTGCTGATGATTGTCCATTGTTGAATGGAGGAGCCTGGCTTTGTGAAAGTTGAAAGGTATTAAAGACTGCATGTAGAGCTAACATGCAGCCTTCTTACATTACTAAATAGAAAGGCACTTATATAGAGGCATGTACACAAATGAATATATCAGTCTATTTGAACAATGATTTAATATATAGAAGAAACTTATATATATATATATATATATATATATATATATATATACATTTCTGTATACTGCAGAGTTGTGTCAACCAGCACAATTAAACAACATCCAGAGCCTCAAGGAACCCGAGGCGGGTCTCTTCCACCCGCTGGGCCTTGCCACACAGGACCATGGTGACCTCAGCACCACAGATTGGAGAGGCTGACTCAAAGTCCCCAGCCCACACTTTCTCACTGCAAGGCAGGATTGCGATGATCTTAAAGTACTCTGCCCACTGACCCACGATATCCCGAGTTAAGGCCAGCAGTACATCATCCTAAACAGTGTTGGTGTTTAGGATGGTGTGGTTGACTGATTGATTGATTGATTGATTGATTGATTGATTGATTGATTGATTGATTGATTGATTGATTGATTGCACTGTTCCCTCCTTCTGAGGCAGACCAGAAAAAGGAATTCAAACCAAGTTGGACCCAGATGAAAACGTAATTATCCCCTAGTAAAATAATGGGTTTACTGTCATTTAGCACATATCCAAAACATATCCCCCTCTAGAAACATGTACTGTCTGTAAAATGTGTTACAATGCAATTTTTTAAAAGTGGGCTTTTTTTTGATTGTGAACAGGAAATTGTGAAAATGAGAGAATGGGAAAGACATGCGGCAAAGGTCACGAGGCCAGGAATCGAACCTGAGACAGCGGTGTCGAGGACTAAGACCTCCTTATGTGGGTTGTGCTTAACCCCTGCGTCACCACAGCACTCCGTTACAGTGCCACTTCTAAAGCTTTTATGTGAACAAGTATGTTCATTAGTAAAAAAAGGAACAGTGGTGACACTTCCCAGGAGATTTCAGCCAAACAAATTTACTCCAAGTGTTATTGCGATTTATCCAGGAGGTCACAAAAGAACCCACAACAACATCTAAGACTTCACATGTATCATTTAAGGTCATTGTTCATCATACAACAAACATATACTGAGTAAAAATGGTATCCCTGTTGAGGTTTCCAAGGTGAAAACTACTGTTGATGTTAGCCAAAAACAAAAACATGAGCTTGATTGCTAGGTTTGGGAGTGAAAGTCCAGATTTAAATCTGACTGAGATGCTGTAGATGACCTTAAAATAGCAGCTCATCCTTATCCAGCAAAGAGAAGTGGATCAACATTCTTTCACAGAGATGTAAAAAAAGGAGATGTACGAAATCATTGCTAGATATCGTAAACACTAGTTGGCAGTTCTTACCATCTAGATTGGCTGAAACAGTTATTAGATTTAAGGGACAATTAATTTTTAAGATAGGAATCGGAATAGTTTGGATAGGTTTTTCCACTCTTAAATGAAATAATCATCTAAAATGTATTTATTGTTTGTTCAGGGTATCTTTGGCTGATGCTATAATTTGCTTAAAAAACTGAAACATTTACTTGTAACAAACAAAAACAAAAGAAGAAGAAACTACAAGGGAGCAATTGCTTTTTCACAGCAATGTGTTGTTCTTTGGTAGGTTGCCTCAGACTACAGATAAAGGATATAAAGCCTGCAGGGATTGCTAAAAAAAAAGAAAAAAAAAAAAGAACGAAAAACCAAGCCAGATATCAGTATAAGATGATGAATTTGTTGCAAATAGTCACATCTGCTGCGGCTCCATGCGTGAACTTGTTAATTTATTCTGGTGAAATAGATTTTGGATTTGCAAGCGGAGAATTTGCTCCTAGTCACTTCCTGCACATGTGGCTGATCCCCCAAAGACCCACAAACAGAACCTCCAGAGACCCTAATTTTCTCTCTTCTTGGCCAGACTCCCCAGGGTGCGGATCAGCCCCGCAGAGTGATATCTTTGCAGCAAAGGCAAAAAAGCAACCAGTTCTTCCAGGAGCAGGCTTCAATCAAACATTACCCAGCCAAGACGTCTGAGATATGGACACACGGAGATAGGACTGAGAGCCCTTGTACTACACCCCTTACATCCAAATTACGGTTCTGGTTTTCTTCATCAGCATCTACAAGTAAATTCAGCTCAGTTAATTCAAGTCAGGGTTTTTATAATTTACACCAAATGATTCTGTTTATAGAAATACACTAGTTTTCCTAGAAATAGAGTCAAATAAAGCAAATTGCAATGGAATAAAGTGACGACAACACCTTTCTTCTATCAATTACAGTGTATAACATTGATGTTCTATTTTTCCTGAAAACTATATTTTATAAAAAAAAAATAGATAGGGAAATAAACTCAAAAAGTTCTGCAAAAATAAATAAAAACAATACTCTTCTATATCAGATTCAATTGATTCTGCTTGGTCTCATGTCAAATCCAGTTACCTGAACACATCCCCAAACAGCATTTGCCTTTCCTTGACACTACCCTGGGAATAATGAGTGGAAAAGGAGGCACTGAATAGGAAATGATATATAAGTAAAAAGCCTTTCACTTTGGATCATTGTCACAGTTTTCGAGACAATAAGGATTGCAGGCAGCAGACCAAACACTGCTTCAGTCTGTTTTGAACTTGCATCTAGACAGCGCATACGGTAGCTCTGCAGATACCTAATAGGTGAGATGGTGATATGCATCCAAAAATCAGAAGCCATGAAAATTTCTATGGAGTAAAAAGACCCAGAGGCAAACCGCGCTGACAAGAGAGGTACACAGGTACATGAAAGCTCCAATTGCCCACATGCAGGAGACAGACTGTGATGGAAATCTGTTGCTATTAAATACTGGAACAAACTTTTTCTACTCAGCTTAAAAGAAAAAGAAGTGCGATTAAAAGCAGCAAGATGAATTTAGTTGGCTATAACCTCTGCTTTGATTTCACTTTAATGTATGAATCTTTTCCTCTTTGAAAACTTCTCAAAGCATAAATATCTCACTTGCCCCATTGATGCTGTAAAATAAACAAAAAAGAAAAGAAAGAAAAAAAAAGCTTAGAGCGTCCTTACTGCCAAAGCTAACATTTCTACGCTTATACAGAAAATGAATCAAAGACATGGGAGTTAAAATTCAATGTCACCTTGTGTGTTTATAGATAAATCTGTAGATATTCCAGCCTCTAATTGATGCCAAGCTCACTTCTGGTCCATTTTAATCACTAAAGCTGAAGATTTAGGGATATCTATTTTGACTTTAATCTCTCTTCCTCTTTTCGTGTTTGGTCACTCTTTCCAGTTAATATTTCTCAGCCTCAGACGAGCTCAGTGCAGACAAAAATCACTAAACATTTAAAGGACTGCTGTTGCAATATTTATTTTGCTCACAGCTGTCTTTTCATGATCAGAAATCCATTTTAACTAGGAGTGCAGCGCTTTCATTTAAAGGTGAAAGAAAGCCGTGCACGATAACGTGAGATGAACGGTGATGAATGGTATGCCATTTTGATAGTCAAACTCAGTGTTGTTCAAAGAAATGAAGGCATTAACCCAGCTCTTTTCTAAGGTTTTTCTTTTAAGTCAACACATTTTTCAAAAAGGGAAGATTAATAAAATATCAAAAACACTTTGGTTACTTTATTTTTTCTTAAGGATCAAAATAAAAATAAATTCTTTCCTCAACATATTCAGAACGTTAAAATAAAATGCTGTAAAGGCTATTACTCATTTATGTTCAAACAAATACCAAGGCTTCTAATACCATTTGCTGGTTGTCATTCAGCGATTACATACCTCTATTTAATGAATTCGAGCAGTCTTAATAGGGCTGTTCACTGAAAGAACATAAATGTGGAAACATAATCCACATGCTGCGAACTAAAGCCCTTCTATCATATTTGTATGTTTCTTTTTTTTAACAAATGAAGATTTTTTTTCTTTTTCTGAAGATGCAAGAGGAAAAATATACAAACTTGTAAATCAAGGTTAGACTCCTTCATTCGACTTTACATCATGATGTATTTTGACATCAAAAGATTTCTTTTAGTTATTCATTAAATTGTTGGACAGACATGCTATTTTTCATCTTTCAGAATACTATAAAATAGACCTTGACCGGATAGAAAGTTGATCGTTTAGACTGTTGCAACTCAGGACCTGAAAACAAAATTGCTCACCTGGCTGGTAAAAAAGCACAACTTTGGATTTAGAAGACAAATGTGCGGCGGTTCCACAGAAAACAAATTTGTGTGCCTGCTATAATGGTTTGGGTAAGTTTGTATGAAAAACTGGGTCGATAATGTTAAACCCCAAGTACATATTGCACATCTATGTTTCGTGCTTTAAGTGAGTAACGCCTTTCTAAAGGTAGAGCAGTTTGTGTCTCAATAAATATATTACTAATGTAACTGTTGATATAAAATCCACAAATATAAGAAAATAAAAGAAACCTGTCAATGATGAGGTGATGTGTCATACACAACAGGACTCTCTTGTAAATGAGACATTGAGTCGCGAGAAATTTCTCCTGTGTGAATAAAGGTTTATATGCAATAATGTGAAAAGACCTGGGGATAAGTATTGAAAACATGATCAGAAGTGTGTTCAAAAAGGCATGAAAAACCTATAACATTGATACATGTTGCAATGCACATAAGCAAAACAGAAATAAATAAATAAAAAGCTTTTTCAAGACCTTTTCACCCTTACTGTTGCAACATACACTCGTGACACTGGTGCCAAACGTAAATCTGAACTTTTAAATGTACCACTGATCACCACTGACGCCATAATCTGGAGGTGAAGAGAAAATTTAATCAGAACAAGAACGAAACAGTCACAACCAGACGCTCCACACAAGATTTCTGGTAGAGAACTGAAAAGAATAAAACCATCAGCTGTGCTCAATTCTCACAAATCAAGACTCCACTGCTGAAGTAAAGAACTAGTTGGAGCTCAGTTACCGTTCCCAGCAGAATATCTACATACATGTAGGTTTACATTCAGGCAGAACTGGTCATAAATCATTCTTCGCTACTTTTTATATATATTTCATAAGTAAGCTGTGTTTATGTTTGAACCCTCATAAAATGCTTTTTTGATATGTAAGGATGTGGCGTGATAACATTTTCATTAATGCTATAAGATAATAGCTTTATTAATGGGATATTCTGGCACTATGACAGCTTATATCCTCCTTTAATTGTAATACAAATTATTTCACTGAAACAACTGTAGAACCATACAAAGCATTCAGAAATATTGTGCATGTTTTCATAAGTACTTAGCAGGTAGTATGAACAGATAAACATGAATTAAGCTGCAAAATCTGCAACCCTGCAGAGATAAACAGGAATATTTGAATAGAAATCATGGCCCACCGCGCATATTTTAACAGACTTACCCAGTGGTGAGCCCATGCAGGTGCCTCCATTCAAGCAGTAGTCTGTGCAGTGGTTCACCTCGCAGCGCTCCCCAGAAAAGTCGGGCCAGCAGTAGCACCTCCAGTCTCCTTTCTCATTGGCCAAGCAACGACCTCCATTCTCACAGGGGGGGCGGCAGAGTTCACCTGCACAACAGCAGACCTCCCTTTACTTCGGGCTCAGGGGCGTGCCGCAGTCACATCACATCAACCGGAGGGGTGTGCGGATAGAGTCTGAAAAGCTACTTTCACAGAGGTGTGAAGCCGAAGTAGAATCCCAGCAGGAGGGCGATTTGCTCAACCTCTCAGTGTTCACAATGCTTCATGCATAAGTGGTATTACTGCCATAAAAATGCTGCTAAAATATAATTTGCTCATTTTGCCGTGTTTAGTGGGGGTGGGAGGCATAATATGCCACACAGTCCCTTGCAATGCCTTTTTTACATTTTATTAAACCACAAACTTAACTATTAGATAGGCATGTCACATATCTGGACTTCTTAAGAGAGTGGCATGAATGAAACTACTGTTCAAAGAAAGAAATGATACTCATTTGCATTTTGACCCCTAAGTACACCGACAAAGCTACAATGAAATGGTTCAGAATAAAGCAAATTCAAGAAAGAGCCAGTCAAAGTCCAGACCTAAATCCAATTCAAAACCTGTGGTAGCACAGGACATACGTCTGATCCGACTGAGTCTGAGATTATTTTCAAAGAAATGGGCAGACATGTCTGCTTTCAGATGGAGAGTTTGGAGAGGAATGAAAATATGTGCATACCACACTTTTCAAATTTTGATTTACAAAAGCGAGAAAGGAAAACTGTATTGTTTTAGTCCCTCTTCATGTTTATGCAGCATCTGTTGTTGGTCTAACACGCCGGACATTTATGATCATTTATGTTTGTGGTTGTAATATATAGAAAAGATAAACAATGGTCATAATCCCTTTTGCAAGGCAGAGGATTTCAGGATGATTATAGCCTACAGCACCTGAATTGTTGATGTCATTACAGGTGCCATTGACCAGAACTTTTCCCTCTGGACAGACACATCGGGCCCCGGTTGGGTTTAGCAGACACATGAAATCACAAGACATCCTCAAGCAGGGATTTGATGCTGTGGAGAGAAAAGACAAAAAGATGTCCTTTAAAAAGAGCTAACAGAGTAATTTATTAAGTTTGGCCTGTAATTATAACTACTTGTTTGTTTGAGGAAAGTATGGCTCTTTTTTTTTCTAAAATGAAGCAATTAATTCAAAGTGCTTTAATGTTTGGTTTGAAGAAAGGATTTTTTTCTTCAAGCAAGGAGAGGTGCTGGGCTAAATTATGTATGCGTAGGACTTCACACTGAAACATCAACAACTTTGAAATGTGAAAACAATTTCCTTTCATCAGGTTGATTTGTAGATTTTTCAAGTGCTCCTCTTAGTTCCGCCTACAGCCCAAAAAAACAACAAAAAAACCCCCCCGACATAATGGAAGCATTCCTTAAAGTTCCAGAATAAATTCCACCAAAATTTCAAAATGTATTCATTAAAGGTACGTGGTAAACAGATTTGAAAGCTGAGGCAAGAGGAAGGGAATCAAACATGTCCAAACTACATTCATCATGCAGACAACGTTAAAACTCTCAAACCACTTTATATTCAGATCTCGATCTGAAGTTGTGGCATCAAATTTTCTCTCTTTCTAACAGCTACGATAACAATACAGTAAGCAAACCATAAGTATGCTAACATTGAGGGCACAGAGCAATGATGAAAGAAGCGTTTCCTATTTAAATTGTTGTTAGGAGGTTTTTGCTGAAGATATCAAGGCTTTACTTCACAGCTCAGTGCAACCTGAGTGCATCCTCTGCCCACAGACTTGCACATTTCGCACTACATGGCTGGCCTAATGAGTCTCTGGGGAGTGGAGGAGCTGCCCTGTAAGAGGAAAACTGACCAAGACTGAGCTCTCTTACATTCTTCAACCATTAACACCAAAGATGTAACAAATACCAGACACGGGTTTACCGCATGAAGTAAGTGAGGGGAAGGACAAGGCTGTATTGATTGGCTGCATACCAAAGTTTCCAGATTTTTTTTTAGGCTTCATATATGTAACAAAATATTGTATTTGACTCAAGTTCAATCAATAATTGCAACAAAAACAAAAACATGGTTTAAGCCTCATCAAATCAAAATACACTTTCAGATTTGGAAAAGGGAAAGATTGTGTAGAAAACTAGGTCTTGCTATTGGAGTAGAGATAAAAAGAAAGTTGAATAAAGATGATTTTCTTTCCATGATGTCCTGGCGAATTAGCCTTAAATTATATTGAAAAACAAATGTAAATTGACACAGTGTCAAAATTATACAATTATACATTATAGGATTTAATTATACATAGTTAAAATCTAAACTTCTAAACCTCTAGTAGGTTTAGATTTCAAATTATTTTAATTCAAACCAACATTTCATTTAATCAGACAGAAAATGAGACATAAAATATATTCCGTAACATTAAGACATTCATTTACATTTTATAAAGAAATGGCTGGTCGAAAATTATTTATTCTATTCTCGATAATCAGTGGAATATTCTTTTTTCTTCATTTCAGCAATCAAGACACTTCTTATAATTACTAAACATCTTTTTTTATGTTTGAAGTTGGAAGGTCTCTTTGCCACCACAATCTGCACTTCAACCACACTTTTTCTCACCATCAGCAAACCTCTGCCACAATTCTGACTCGATTTTTTGACAGTTCTTTCAGGCAGACTTGGCTGAGTTCATTTGGACTAGTTGATGCCCTGTCACGAACCCAGCTTGTGATCATAGTTCACAAATGTTCAGAACTGTTAAGGTCAGGGGTTTCCCTAAAGCTCATTGTTAGTCTGCTTTATTAATTCAATAACAACTATTGACATATGTTTGGGATCATTTCCCAGCTGGAACACTTAGCTTAACTTTCCATCATCTAACACAAACTGTTAGATGATGGATAGAACACAAACTCAGATGAGGGAAAATACTTTAGAATGATCAGGAACAATCCCGAAACCATTAAGGCTTAAAAATATCACGACCAGGAAACTGCTGGAACACCAGTGTCAAGATGAATATGGGCCTAAATGACAGAAAGTATATTTGGAGAAGTGTGGCTGAGTATTTAAAGTTTACCAATGGAATACTGTGAAGCACGGGGAAGGCAGTGTGATGAATATGTCCATTACTCTGCTGCCAAATGGTACTGGTGCGTTGCACTTAGCGACTAAAATAAATTCTTTAACTTTATGTTAGATCAACAGCGATTGGTAGAAACTTGAAGATCATTGGGTGCTTCAACAGGTGGTCAGAACCACAAAGGAAGTTTTAGCATTAATAAAGCAATATGGAAAGCCCCGATCTCAACTATACAGAAAATGTCCACTATTCTGTCTCTGTGCTCTGAAATCAGGCAACTTACATTATTTCTACCAATTCTGCTAGAGGATTGATCAAGCTAGAGCGTTTCTGATGGCTACAATATGTGGTCATGGTGCAACTTGCTAGTGGACATTAGACAACAATATTGGTAAGAGTTTATATATTCTATCGAATGTAGATGAGAGAAAACCCACAATAAATAATGTGTAAATGAATAGTTAGATGAAGGGTTGATTAACATGCAGAAGAACATAGTCTGTCTTTTAAAATCTGTGAGATATTCTGGTTTTTATTCAACTTTAATCTATCTGCAGGTATTTCATTTATATACAGTTATCTATTTTTTTTTCTTTTTTAAGATATTTTTACATTAAATGTGGTATGTTTTGTTATTCTGCTGCTGTAACAAGTGAATTTCCCCACTGTGGGAATGATAAAGGACTACTCTATTTGAATCAGGAGGACTTACCGTCTTGCTGTTTGTAACGGTGGGAGACAAAAACATTGGTGGGCCTCTCCACCCCCAAATAGAGAATCTCCACCGCCTGTTTGCCGTACTTGTGAATCTTGAAGAGCTCATGTTTTAGTCCAGTTCCATAGATGTAGTCCTCAAATAAATCAATTCTGTATGGCTGAGAAATTCCTGAAGATACAGCAGTGAAAATGAAATTCAGAATACCGAGGATGCTGAATGTTTGTACCCTGTGACTCAGAAAGTAAAAGAAACAATGTTTGTGGAGGGCAGATTGATCTTAATACAACCTAGCCTTCTGAGACACACCGGCAATACTGCTGCAATTATTTGATAAGATGTTGTGCAGCACGAATATCGTGGCTTTAAATGGAAAAAAAAAAAAAAAAAAAAAAAAAAAAAATGCTTGTACTTTGTTTGTTTTTTTCTCTTTGGGGTTTACCGTGTCTGTCGCTGATTGTCACAAGGGGGTCCGAGCCATCCAATCTCATGCTCCCTATCTGTGAGAGCTCAGGATCAGCCCAGTAAATACGCTGGTTGAAGTAATCAATTGCCAGCCCTGTGGGAGGATGAAGGTAAGCAATTTATTTACCTGACAAATTAAATTGAAATCATTGAAAAATCCCTCAACGCAGGAGACCTTCAGGTCAAGAAAGTCAGATTAGTTGTAGAAGGAGAAGCTTTGTATTTTAAAACCCAATCTTTGTGCTTGTATAGAACATTTCAGCTGTGAACTGAGGTTTGATGGTGGATTTTGCCCATTAAAATTCTTTCACTTTCTCTCAAAACTCTAACTAGAAAACCGAGGACGCCGCTTAGGCATGTAAATGAATCTTTGTTTTTTCTTTTCAGCTCTCCAATGATGAATTTCTCTCCTTGTGACCGAGACAGGGCATTGGTCTCTTGTATTAAAGGAGGCCAAAGCAGCTTTTCAAAACTAGATCAGCACTAAGTGGCTCCCTCTAGACCTTCAGACACAAACTGAGTGGCTGTTAACTACTCCTTACTTGTTTTATACTGACTTCAGTGGTGATCTTAAAAAACTATATATATATTGTTATTATTTAAAATAGCTTGGTGTATTAATTTGAACACCTGAAACTGACTTTTAAATTTTCATTATCTGTAATCATTAAAATGAAGAGAAACATATCACAACAATGATTCTACACAATACATGGAATTAAGATGAATTTGTTTCCAGTAGGAAACATGTGTCTTGAAGTTCACTTTTTGAAAGGAATGCACAAATAAAAGAACTTTTCTATGGTTCTAATTTATTGAAATGCATATGGAAGTAGCTGAAATTAGAAAAGTAGTTATTGAGGGTCTCTGCTGAATTGAAGGAAGCAATAAATGCAGACTGCATGTTGGGCTGGCCAACAACACTCAATTACAAAAGCATTAAGCTAAGTTGTTTGTGTTGCAGCATTTTGTAGATGTTTTTTTTTTCCACGGTATGCCCTTTGAATACAGATTTTAAAAGAAAAACTTTGAGAAAGAAACATCTCTTCCTCCTGTGAAGACACAAAAGAGAGTAATTTCAAAGCTTTTTTGGCATTAGGACTCACTTAGACTTGGAAACTGCAAATAAAACAATAAATATTCCCAAGGCTTTTTACACTTCTTTACCAGAGAAACCAATAAATGCTAAAGAGTCTGATTTTACAATGAACTAGAAAATACAGAAACATGTGTACTTTATTGATTAAAGTGTTTTTTGTTCACCTTGGTATAATTATGTTTCATATAATTGCTATGGTAGGAAGACCTATTTTCACACACCTGTTTGCAAAGACGCACTTATTTATCAATGTCTCACAAAAAGGTGCTACTGGTTCAGCTTCAATAGTATCAAAAGGAAGCCTTGCAAATATGACAAGTTAATTAGTTGAAACGCACCACTACACATCTAGTATACATTAAATGTATCTTTAGTAGAAACTTTGGTACAATATATCGTATGTAAAAAACGGTATGACAATTCAAAGGTAAACAAAAAAGTCCTTTGTGTGTTTTCATTTTCTATCATGCACCACAGAAGGCCACACTGCTTGTATAATCAAAAAGGAATTCATTTTACATGCGCGCATAATCAGTCTCAAAGATGGACTCACAGCATAGGAAAAACACACAGTGATAATGCGCCTTTTTCCGTTTTCCAGACATCTCCACCGAATGACACCAAGGTAATAAAAAGGTACCATAGAGAGAGAAAAACAAAAACATACAGAAATAATAAAAGCAGATATACCTACCAGTGGGTCTCCGAAGATTTTTCTCCAAGAGAACTCTGCGTAATGATCCATCCATGGCTGATTCCTCTATTTGAGAGTGATCGCCAATAACACTCCAGTACATCATTCTGCAAGAAACCATGCAAATAACAGTGCAGGATTCAACATGAATATAAAATAAATACGACATACAAAAAAAAATATGCGTTAATGTAGCCTGATAACACATGCATAGCACTTTATACGCATAGGGGCCAATTTTATAAATTCCTGCCACAGCCTTCTTTCTCAAGAGTTCTAGTATTTTTTGAATCTTGTACTGTTGTTGCAACAAACATATTGTGAATTAACATATGAAATAATAGCAATATTTCTCCCACATTTTTTATTTACAGCCAAATGCAAAGTAAGATAATGGAATGAGAAAGATTAAAATGTAGTTATGGTACCTACATACCATGACTATGGGATGCAAGTATATAATTACACAATTGGTAGTAAAAGTTTACATTTTTTCAAAAACATTGCTTCTACATGGTATTAAAAAGAAAAGTCCAAAAATGTTTAAATATGGAATTCATATTATAATTTTAATAATCCGATTCATTCCACAAAGCTATAAGAATAATGCATTTTAAGGAGTGTGATCAAGAAAAAAAAGAGTGTCTGAGTACACAACTCACCCCCTGGCTGGGTTTACAGTAATGGCATATGGCTCTCCTGCTATGTCAGTAATCAAGCGAGTGCAATTTGGTCCCTTAAGTTGGCCCACATTTATGGAATATCGTAATTTAGTCCAGTGGGCTGTGTAATAGCTGAACCAGTGCATCCGGGAGTGATCAGTCCAATAAATGTTTCCCGTGATCCAGTCAGCAGAAATGTCTCTAGGACGACGGAAATCTGAACACTGCAATGCATAAAAAGCAGGTTCTCTTATTCAAATCCTGTGCGTGCATCATCTAAACTTGTCACATAAAAGGCAACGCAGTAAAACATCACGAAACACACATTTTATAAACTCAGACAACTCATGAAGCAATAGCAGTTTTTGATAGATGGACAAATAAAGGCACTTGAAGCACTTACAATGTTCTTAACATTTGCTTTTGTTTGGCCTCTTTCAAGAGTGTCCTTGTAAAAGATCCCACCAGGGTTAAACTGGGTAGCCCATATAAACTTTTGCTGATGAAACAGAACATCCATCCCGATAATGCGAGCATTGTCCTCAATGTGAGTGAGCAGTTTATGTCCCTGGCTCTGGTTATATGGATACACAAAGCTTCGGATTTCAGTGTCGTTGGCTATGTAAAGCACTCTGTCATCTTGTCCTGCAAAGACAGTCGTTAATTTGAGAAAAAAAAAATAAAAAAGGAAATGAAAGCTTGTATAAATGATTAACATCCTACCCTGTGCAGTTTAAGCATGATACATAAAAATAGATCAAACAAATGTAAGCCGAGCCTGAAACTGGAACACATTTCGATAATATTCATACCTTTAACAACACAGTTGCCGTTCATCTCCTTATAGTTCCGATCGCACGTACATTTAAAGGATCCCTTAGTGTTTGTGCAGTAATGAGGACATGTGTCAAACTGGAGACACTCATTCATCTCTGGAAAACAAGGGAGAGAGATGTAACATCATTACAAATCTATATGTTTCCGTGTCACTGAAACAAAGTGCGGAGTTAAAACATGTAAAGGCCAACAACTTTAATTTTCTTTGCCCTGCACATTTCATACGAGGTGAAAAGTGTTTCATCTGTTCCTGGAAAGTTCAAGTAACTTGTGACACATGCAGAACAACAGAATTTTTCTGAGTACATTTCAAACGTTTTTATGCCTTTCTATTATTTTTCCTCTAAAAACCACTATCTGGTTTATGTTGGTTTATCTGCCCTGGAAAGGGTAACAATGTTCTTTTTAAATTTAAATTATTTCTCTTTATCTTCACTCATGGTGTTGAAGAGGATAACTATCTTTGCAGTTGAGCTAATACATCTATTTATTTGAAACAAGATTTTAAATTGAAAATGTTGCTCTTTTAATCAATATTGCTTTTGATTAAAATGCAATTAATTGTGATTCTTTAATTACAGACCCTGCAATTAACTCCAATAAAAATGTAATCATGTCCCACCACTAATTACTCCTTTTTGTTGATAATAAACAGACCTCTCTGATGATGAGTCGTCTACCAAACCATTGGAACAAGACAATAAAAAGTATTATTTCCATCTTGACATTTTGTTGAAGTTTTAGAGATTTTTGTTCATAAAAGTCATTCATCCATTGCCTTGCTATGAAATTCCCCATAATCTTAACCTTTAAAAGCCTACAAGTCTACAATTAGCAAAGGTTTTAGCGAATATGACTCCCACCATTTCCTAGCGTAACAAACCAACACAGAAATACTCATACGTTACCTTCACACTGGCCCGTCTTTTGGTTCCTCTTGAAACCAGGTTTGCACTGACATATCGCATTAGCATTTGTTTGGTTGCAAATTGCATCCTCCCCACATGGATTTGTTTTCTTTCCGCACACATCTCCACTGGAAACTACAAATAAATACAGGCCTTTGATTATGCCTCTGAATCTCAGTTGACTGCTGGGGTTTTCCTTTGATGTGCAACAGCTAAGAGTGCATCCTAATCACTCACACAGAACACAACACACCTCAAACATTTATTATCACAAACAACAAAACCTTGCATCTCAAATGAGAAGATTGCTGTTCTTCGCGATAACCTCACAGGGAGCCACGCTGCATCTCTTGCAGGAGCTTCAATGATATCTTTGCAAAAGTTACCAGCTGGTGTTCTTACATGACTTGCAGTCCTGCTCGTCTGAGCCGCCGTCGCCGCAGTCGTTGAAGAGGTCACACTGAAGCGGCATCGGGATGCAACGTTGATTACTGCAGGTGAACTCTGTCTTGCCACAAGGCCGAGGCCTTCCAGCTACCACCTCTGCTTTGAGAAAAAAAAAAGGAAAGAAAACAAAGAAAAGTAAATATAAATCTTTTTTGTAAATATGGAATTAAAACAACTGAAGAGTTAATGCAATTGCATTAACTCGGTTGTAACTGTCAGAGGCAGGTCAAACACTGGAACATTGATTCAACTCATTCTTTCCAAACTGTTTATGTCAAAAAGGGACAAAAATGTTTCGATATAAACCTGTTTACTTTTTAGTTCTCTGTTTTTTTTATTTTTTGGAAAATAATAAGACACTCGAGCTACTTCAATGTAGAAAAATCTAACAGAGTGATTAAATGGTTCTATTCATTGAGGGGCAAGTTCTCTGAACTATTTGTTTATACCAAGTGAGTATAAATCTGAGCTTGTTCATGTTTGTAATTCTGAAAAAGAAAGAAAGGTAGACCTGCCCTTTTCAAAAGCTCTGCAACAAACTTGTACCTGCTGTTTGTCAAAGTAACTAAGTGAAATGATAAGTAAAACTAACAAATGATAATTGGCATGTGTTTATTTGTTAATTTTAACATATTTTATTTATGAACGTCAATTTAAGTTTTAAAAAGTATAACATTTGGTAGTATATATATGCATGTTTTGTCTGAATGCGTTTAGTGTAATCTGCTTTTGAATCCAGTGCAAATTTTAGATACAAAACAGTTGAAAAAAATGGAGCAGTTTGGACTGCTTCGTACGTTTCCTCTTGGAAACACATCACACAATTATTGCCATAGCAAAGCAGAATTAGGCACACTTTCGTTATTGTTTATGTTCATTGTAATTTTATTTTCGCTATTTTGAGCTGACGTCCAAAACAAATTCAAAGTTAGTGTTTCAAGACCTTCTTAGAAGGTTTGTGCTTACCTAAGGCATAGACATGCAAGCAAATAATATTCCTCTATGTGTTCTGCTTTTCTCAGCAACACCATTTCTAGCACAGGTTAAAGCCGGTGATAATAAATAGAATTATTTAAGTCATGTCTAGGCTTCAATATTTAACACAATTCCACAGCAAATTTGGAATTGTTTTGATAAGTCATTCATTCGATATATTTGTTCCTTATATACCTGCTAGAATTCAACCTGAACTCATCTTTATACCATCACCTCAAAAAAAAAAAAAAAAAAAAAAAAAAAAAAAAAAAGAAATATGTAGTATCTTGTCCCATTGAGATAGGACAGAACCACTGTTTATGGTTTAGGATACAAATTTCATCCACGTGTTTGATGTGTGACCAGTGAAGTTTCAGCTAGCTAACCATTTGCCCATTGCAGTGTTTTTAAGTTTTTCATGATCTGACAAAACACATAAAATGTTTTATTCTATGTATTATCTTAAAACTTTCTGGGAGTGCATAGCTTGTTTCATACTATTCAGCAGTGGGAATATCATCGATCACTACACAATTAGAGTATTGGCATATGTCAGTGTGAACAAAGTTCAGGGCTGTTCAACTAAAAACACAAACTGAAAGAGTGCAGTGTGGGATTTAGAGTGTTGCACTTCTTCCTTGCTCACAAAGGTATTTTCTCAGAAGTTACTGTTATTGGCTTTGGAGTTCTGATGTTTGCTTGATGCCGTTGCTCAGCTTCACTGCACACTAAATTGAAATCCTCACTTGATCCAAAGCATTCAGCACTGCACTCCCAGCAGCTGAGTGGATCTCATACTGCAGAGCTTATAAAGCAGTCAATCGATTAGATGTTAAACACAGGAGAAAAAGATGAGCAGCCTGTCCGCATCGTTCTTGATGGTAATGTAAGATATATGGACAAAGCAGTGGGTGACGTGAGTTTCAACTGTAGGCTGCATGAACTCCAAGCACTGCACCATATATACATAAACAAACTGTCCAAGTGAGGGCCATTGATTGTAATAACTTTAATGCGCTTAGAGACGGATGGCTTATTGGCAAAGACTAGAATTTGTATAACTTGGATTGACTGCAGTACAAAAATATTGACTGTCACATCCCCACAGCAAATGACAGTTAATGTGTCAATTTTCAGTTTAAAGAATGTACACAATCACATCTTTTCTGCAGCTAGTCGAGAAAGAGGTTATTATCTTAGCGGCAGGTAAAATTGCAGTTTGATTTTCATCTTCCCATTTTTTTCTGTGTATTGTAAAAAAAAAAAAAAAAATGTATGTTTGGCACTCTCCAACAATGTGAGAATGAAAAGGAAAGGAGCATAATGAAGTGATGGGGAGGAGGATGATGGGATTAAGATGAAATTGAGGAGATGGATAGATGGAAGAGGCAATACAATGGTGAGAGGTAATGGACTGAGGTAAGAGATGGATGAGGGTCTCAATGGAATCAGAGAGAAAGATGAATGAAAGACGAGAGAAACAAGAGAATGATGGAAAACAGGAGCTATTTCTCCTTTTTTTCTCTCTGTGAGAATTTACAGACAGCTTGTGCTGAGGAAAGATATCAGGACACCAGAAAAGGGAGAATCAAAGCGTTTGGAAACATTAAAATGGGTATTTTCACTTTGACATCAAAAAGGGGACACAAAAGCTAAAACTATTTTGCACATTTTTTCCCTGACATTGAAATGAAAAAAAAAAAAAAGAAAAAGAAAAAAGGAAGAAATAATAAATAAAAAGCCACAGATCTGAACATACAGTAAGTGGAAACAATATCTGCTTCAATGTTTATCAACCACCAAGTGTTCATACATTTTCTACATAAACAACCTTTTTGCAGAATCAAATGTTTGCTTCCTACCGCATTCTTCTTCATCCGAATTGTCGCCGCAGTCATCCACTTTGTTGCAGACTTGGTCCATGCGCAGACACACATGATCGTTTCTACAGCGGAAAGGCCTCGTAGGTGGGCAAGGAAGCTTAGCTGGAGGCCAAAAGATGCAGAAACAAATTAATTTGCTGTTGGGATTAAAGAGAGGCGGCAACATCTTTTCTCTAGGGGTACAGAGAAGTAAAAAAAAAATGCATCAGGTGGCTTTTAGGTGTTATCTTGTGAGTGGTATTTTAAACTTACCACACATTTCTGCATCTTCATCAGAGTTATCGCCACAGTCATCCTTGCCATCACATACCCATGTGTGGAGCTTACATAAGGTGTTATTACAGATGAATTCATCGGCTCGACAGAAAAATGTTCCTGCAGTCACATAAAGTTTCCAAAATTTTTAGCACAGCAAGTTAGGTAAAAAAGTACATTTTTAGATATCATGGAGTATCTCACCTTATTAAATCAAAAGGCTAAAACTCTTTCTGTATTGAATCTTTAGCTACATTTTCATCTGTATTATGTTTGATATCTATTCATCTCCTGTGCTTTTGCAAATGTCATATTACTGGATTTACTTTGACCTTCTAATATTAGATGTTAATTTGTTTTGCACAATTTATTTTATGAATGCTGCAGCTTTTAGCATAAGCTTTTATATTCATAATAACATTCCAGTCAGATATGATTGTTCCTTTTTATTCTTGAGTGGACTGAAAATACAAATTCTTCCACTTTTGAAAAACAAAAACTGCGTTTACGAGCTTGATTTTTTTGTGTGTGACTTTGATAAACAACACAGGGTCAGAAATATACATACAGCCTAAAAAAACACACACATATCTACTGACCCATATATATATATATATACCCTTTCTTACAGGGAAAGTTAGATATGGTTTTTATAAGAGGCTTTTAGACCAAATAGGTGGGTATGTATATATCTGAGGCTTTGTTTCTAAATGTGGGCCTGTCTGAATTGAATAAAAATAGATTCCCAGAATTGTATTTTTTGAAGTTCTCTATAAAATAATCATTTCATCCTGGAAAAAGAAAGCATCAAATACATTATTTAAAAAAAAAAAAAATCATGTCTATTATGAGTATACCTAACCTTCTACCTGGAACTATATGATATAACATATTGCGGTATTATTTAAGTGTTTCCTTCTTTTTACCATGGTTGCAGTTTTCTTCATCGCTGTGATCCATGCAGTCCAACACGTCATCACATCGCCAGCGTCGAGGGATGCAGTGAGCGCGATTCAGGCACAGAAATTCATCCTCTCTGCACTCCTTCACACAACCAATCTGTCCAACAACAACAAAATACAAAATCCTCAAGTAGCAACCATGAAAAATAGACTCTTTACACAGTAATCTGTTGAAGCACAATTCACAATAAACACACATTGGTGTGTGATGCCTTTAATTCCTGGAAACGTGTGAAGCTGTACTGACCTCATCTGAGCCGTCAAGGCAGTTGTCATGTCCATCACACCGCAGGCTGGCTGACACACACCCTCCACTGGCACACACATACTCATTTACAGAGCAAGATGGGCCCACTGGAAGAAAAAGCGGAAGATATTATTTACGGAAGGCGCAGCACTTTAGCTTTCTTAACTATTACAAAGCTCTAGACTAACACTGTTCTGACAGAAAAACCAATGGTTTCTCTTAAAAGTATTTCTTCAGTGATGACAGGATCACAGCTTTTGTTTTTTGCTACAAAGCTGAACTGAAACAATATTTCAGTTCAGCTTTGTAGTTCAGTTCATATTTTCAGGATCTGCTTCTAAAACTGATTTGCACATTTCTGAAGGTCCCCTGAGAAATGTTCTTATCATGTATTTTGGTTCTGGGTGATTGTCTATATGCCAGTTGAAAATGTTTATCAGACAGGCAAAGACAACTAATGTTTTAATAAATTAAATTTTCAGTAAGACTTATCAAAAATGGAATAATAATCAATGGAATTAGAGTGTTATATAAAGTTCTCAGAAAAAAAAAAATTATAAAATGAGTCACTAGAAACTGTTACACAATGATTAGATAAGTGATTATGAAATATGGGCAGAATTTGGTGAAAGCTTAGAATAGAGCAGAGGAAATCTTAAAAATCCTTCAAATCAATTATCAAATAATAACCTATTGCCTAATATTGAGGGGCCACTTCACTTCCAATATATTTTCAAGCTAGACAAAGAGATATGGAGTTTGATAGATTTTTTTTTTTTTGGATTGTAAGATGTGCTTTTGATTGAAGCCTTTCTTCTACGGACATGAATAAAAACATTTCTGAATATCTGGAGGTGGGATGAACACTTCTAGTTTATTCATTATTCAATTCCTCTGATTCCTTTTCACAGCAGTCTGCCAAAGATGGATTGATTCTGTTTGTCGAAATAGAGATCCATTCACTTATCACTAGTTATAATGAGATAATATATCGACCTAAATATCTGAACATATTGTTTGATTACTTTTTTTTTCTTATTAGTGAGCCATGAGCAAAAATGTGAAGCATAACTTTTCATGAAGACCTTTTAGACTGCCCAGGGAAAAAGGAAAAAAAAATCCTTTTTTTTTTTTTGACAAAAAGATTTTTTTTATGAATAATTTTGGTTTTTGTACAGGAAACTTTTGATCTGAGAAATAACTCGCAGAACATGCAGCCATCCTTTGAGCAAAAATGAAAATCATTTGAGTTATTTTTGCTAGGTTCACACCTGTTCCATGGCAGCTTTTTTCATCTTCCCCCATCTTGCAGTCTTCTTGACCGTCACACAACCACTTGAGTGAGATGCAGAGGTTGTTGTGACACCGAAACTGGTCATCGGCACAGCGCGCCTCACAGCCTCTCTGAGAACAAATTCAGAGAATAAGAAAGTAAAAAAAAAAAAAAAGACACAAAAAATTATTTTGATTTATAATCATTTGTATTTCACACCAATGATTACACATTAGCTATAAAATCAGGAGTTACTTTTGTAAAAATAATGTGATGATCCACAAATTTTTATTAAAATATTAAAAGCTGATAACACAAGAAATAAAACATGTTTCTATACAGCTTATCTTAGGCAAAGTAAAAGGAAGATATTAGTTAAGCATATGGAAATCTATGATGTTTGTACTAAATGTAAAAGAAAAAAAAATGTTTTTGTATGGTGATTAGTGATACTAATCAGTTACAAATGAGGATTTTAAGTGATTAACTTTTGTGTCAAATATAGACAGGAAACTCCATTGTCCACAGTAAGAAAACCAAAGGTTTATGGAGAATGTCCAGACTAAGATCCTGCAGGATGTCCTTGACTAAGCTGACAAAGCAGTGATGGCTAACCATTCAATGAGGTTTTTGACTAGGTAGATAATGGGGCAGTAGTGGTTACAACATCAACAGCAACATTAAGGATTGATCAAAAAGGAACAGGACTCAAAGAGGAGGAAATCACTTGGACTCAGAAGAGCATAACCTTAGGAACAGCTAAGATCCTGCACAGAACATAAAGAACCCCAAGATAAAGTAGAAGTGCCAAAGAGGAAAGAGTGTTTGTAAAGCCTTGGGGTTGTTTTGGGGATAAGGACTGAAAAGATTTTCAATTTAAACATTGAGTTAAGGGAAACGAGGAAGAAATTAAGATTGCAAAATTATTTTAAAAGGATGATATTATGTATTTTCCAATCATTTAGTGCCATTTCATAGCACAATCAAGTACTTAAATTACCTTCAGTTATTAAATTTCCATATATATCAAACACAACATGAAATAAATTTGACTTTACATTTCATTGCTTTGAAATTGGACCAGTGTCTCTTAAAGAAGCTTCTACTCTTTCTGACACTCTGCCTTCAGCTCGTCGCCACAACAGTGCTTCTCATTATGGCATTCACAAACGTCCTTTGAGGTGTTGCAGTGAGACGTAGTTAGTTTGAAAAGCTCAGCAGACAGGTAGTTCAACCAGGTGTTTATTATTACTGCTGCTAATTACTTTGGAACCCTGTGTGGATGGCTTGGGGAAGGGGTGTTCTGTGAGGACAACAACAAGCTATGCTCAAGTCTTCAGTTGCAAGAAGCTTTGTAGAAATAAGCGGCACATTGTATAAGCAAGCGTTTAGGTTCCCTGAATGGCTTCTACGAGAGATTTAAGGATTTCTCAAACACGCAGGAAAGAATCAAAGGAACACTCCAAGTACCTTTTGAATACCTGGAGTGTACAAACATGATATACAGCTCAAAACAGTCGATTTTACGTAACCCCCTTTAAAACAACTACTTCATTTGGCTGATAATATGAAAACACCTACTAATGCCCACTGACATTTGACATATTAAAAAATAGCAATCTGTGTTGAAGCAATAAAACTGGTCATAACATGAAAATATGCGAATGTGGCACTATTCTGGAAAATGTTCCTGAACTTTAACAACTACTGCAAGCTAATGACATACTAATGCAGTCCTCAAACCTCACAGTCCACCCATAGCTTCAAAGGTTTGCAAATAGGTGAAGAGGCGGTGCTTTTATAAATGTGCTTTGAGTTTTCTAAAAAAAATAGATGAGCTGCTTTTAAACTCAGCTAGAGGACTCTGAAAAGAAGTTAATCATTACTTTTACAAAGTCATGAGAAACCCTCTTAGGTTTTGTTTTTTTTCTGTTAGGACTCGTGCCCAGTAGATGCACACACTCCTTTAAGATAATTAAAACCCGTTTATACCAAACTACCCCCAAATTGGACCATTCCTTCTGGGTGTTTATTTTTGACCTTAATTTAATGTCTTACACAAAGCATTTGCAAACATGAATTCCGAAAGCGAACACTTGGGATAAACTTCACAAAGGGTTAATTAGGGTTGAAGCACCTGCATGCAAAGAGATTACATATAAAACAAATATTATGAATGTTAAAGAGGGAAAAATGCTAAAAAGAATAATGAATTTTAACAACAAGCTTTTATCCTTGTATTATGCATCACAAAACAACATTATCTGTAATGGGGCTTTATTTCTTCATTTTTAATGCAAATGCTATTTTTCCATGCACTGTCAAAATTAATGCGCGTTTAGGTTCATTTTGTCACGTATTATCTGCGTCAAATTACAAAAGCAGTTTTAAGCTTTAAAAAATAAAGATATTCAGGCGTCTGAACGAACTAAACAACCAGTCTTTGTTAGTTCTACAGGCATGAAGGATTAGGATTACCAATAGCAAATTAATATGGTTTTTCATGCTCTAGTGCACTGGAAGGTAGAATAATTCATCACAGTAAAATATCCTGTACTGTTCTGCAGTGCGACAACCATGGCGAGGAGATTTATATCAGCACAGTGAAATATAACTAAAACAGGAATTTTTTCAGAGCTAAATTTCATTTTTTTTCTACAACTGCAATGCTTAATTCAAACTTGAGCTACGTCTCTACTGACAAACTAAACTAGTGATCAGTTACGTAGAAAAATACATTACCTGTATGCTATAATTTGGCTCTGATCCACTGTAATTTATGAGTGTTGGTGACCCAATTATGTCGTTTTGATCTCTTTTCACAATATTACACTCTTGATAATGCAACCTTTAATTTTAATGCAAGCTACCTATTGACCCACTAATTACACATTTGCTAACACATAATGATTTAATGGGGTATGATGGACATCCTGTCTGTTCAGACTAATAAAAACCCATATGCCACACAGCCCAAAATGTAGGTGTGTCGTAGCTCTGCTTGTGAAGTCATTTTATGTGGCAAATTTAATTCTTAAAAATAAACAAAAACAGTAAAACTCAGGAACTGACCTCATCTGAATTGTCCAAGCAGTCATAATCTCCGTCACAGCGGAACCGGGATGAAATGCACTCTCCATTTGCACAGGCAAAGTCTTTGTGGTTACAGGTGACAGGCTCTGTATGGGAAAGAGAACATTCACCTTTTATTAATTCACACATGTTCATGAATTTTGTGCTAAAGCAATGGTAAAAATTATTACTGTTCTGAACCAATTCCAGATGCTAGTTTAACTTCAGATACATGTTGTTGGTTTACTGCAGTGGTTCCCACTGCAGTAAACGGGGCATCGACTTTGGGGGCATCGACTTTGGGGGCAAAATGAATGTACGTAGCTGAAAATAGACACCAACATCGGTAGCCTACAAGCTACTTGTTAAGCTTAAGGTTCTGTATTGATATTAGCTAGTCATCTTTTAGCTAACATTAGCTAGTCATCTTTTAGCTAACATTACCTGCATCCAACAGCTTTACTCAACTCAGTCGGTTAGTTTGGAGGGAAAAACTATTAAAAGTTCTTTGCGTTTTGCTGGTTTGCTGCCGTGATTCTAACACAAACCTACGTAGCTCCACAGCAGCAGCAGGTCTCCTTCACAGGTGGAAACCCAGCGCGAGCGTCGTAGCACTCATGTTGTGTTTAAAGGCGGCTCGGAAAAATAGGTTACAACATGTTAACAACGGATTAAACAGTTTTAACTGATAAAAGTGACAGAGGACACAGATATGGGAAGTGTGGAAGCCTCTACTGTATCAAATTGACAGAGGAATAACAGAGAGTTGGCCATTCTAAGGTAAAAACACAGCGCATACAGTGTTCATGTTTTTTTTTTTTTTTCATCCCGACGGCTTCCCGCGCCCCCCCTGCAATGATACGGTGCCCCCCCTAGGGGGCGCGCCCCACAGTTTGGGAACCTCTGGTTTACTGTAAGATACAGACAGGCTACGATTTTAAAGTAGTGCAGAAAATCTCTGTCATCGTTTACAACTTCTAATTCTGTTTGGTAGACTTTCTACCAGAGAAATCCTCTTCAATAAGAGAAAGCCAGATGGAGCACTGAGAGGAAATTAGTAATAAGGGGGTTGTGTGGAAAAGCAATGGCCAGGCTGATTACGTATTTATAATTATTACAACTAAGAGTAAAATATATTATAGTAAAATTTTAAGCTCATATTGCTCATTGGTTTTATAGAGTTTCAGTGTGGGACTTGCAATCTGCAAATAGATGTCCTTAAAAGGCTTGGATCGAATTCAGCTTTATGGATCAGCATATGCCTGGTAAAAACTTTATGTTTTATCCTTTAATGTCATTTTGTATTCAAAACTGGGAAAGGCTAAATCACTTCAGAAAAAATGCATCAGCATAAACATAAGAAAATCAAAATGTACCCATTGATTCAGGAGTAAGAACTTCTCACTGAAAACAAGAATCTTGTATCTGCTATTAGGGGTAGTCTCTCCCTACAGACAATATTAGACTGGTGCTAAACAGCTGGATTAGATTCATTGTCTGGGCCCTCCCTTGTTATCATGGGCTGTTAGCTAACCATGGGCATGTATTATGAGTTGTGCTGTAAGACAGACTCCCAGCAGGCATTGCAGCAAAATCTGATTTGCAGCCCCTCTACTGTCTGCTGGTCCAGCTGCTTTATGTCTTTTTTTCCATCCAACTCTTGACTGGCCTTTATTTGCATTTTAAGTGACATTAATAGGTTTGGAGGCTCGAGAGTCTAATAAATCATGGAAAATGTGCACACGCTGCAAAAAAAAAAAAAAAAAAAAGCACACAGAGAGTCTATGCATGAGCTCATACAACACACAGGCAAACGATTCCCCCCACGCAAATACAAAGAGTTGAGTACACAACAGGATGTGAGACTTAACAAGGCGGGTTAGCAGTGACATTTCATGAGGAGATAAAGTAGCCCAAGAGTCTGAGCTTAACTTTGTTCTCGGAAAAGAAGCACATATATTACGAGCGCGCTTAAAAGAGGGAGTTGAGTCATGTTGGATTGATAAGGAAGAACCACCCTGAATGCACAAAACTGCATATATTATTTCTGAGAATGGGACAAGGCGTTGTCATGGTTGGTGGGAAAAGCAGTCAAGTGTCCTCAAGGGCGTCAAATTCTTCACGGTGCGTGCAAAACATCAACAGTGTATACAAGCAAATAAACAGAGCTTAGAGCACGTGGAGTTGTCAGGTATACTCACTGCAGTTCTCCTCGTCTGAGCCGTCTCCGCAGTCATTCTGGCTGTCACACCTCCAGTGGTCGGGGATGCAGTTGTTATTCTCACAGCGGAATTCATGAGGTCCACAGGTCTTTTCATCTTTTTCATCAGGAGCAAGACATAGAGAAAAAAGCATACAGATGAAAATGGCTTCAAAGAGCATGAATATTAATGCAGCACTAGCTATCATATTTTTAAAGTGTAATCATCGTTTCCTCAGGGTTTCCCTGAGCAAGTCTGACTGTGAGCTCAAAACACAGTATGCATTCAAAAAGCTAATAAACCGTAAGATGAAATACCTGACTCTGCTGCCAGGTCTGCTCAGCCGATCGCTGACAAAAAGTTGGCAAAATTGAACATTTCTAAGTATGACTTGTGTTTCCTTTTAAGCCACATTCAAGCTGTGATTCTGCTCCTTTCAGCATTATCGCAGACGAGACGTGACGGTGATCGAGAAGTAAAATGGGAAATACTCTACCATACTGTTTGGCTTTCTCTTTTTGGTTAGTTGCTGTACTGAAAATGTATACTTCTCGAGCATTCCATACTGTTTTGTTTTACTGTTCTATTTTAGGTTGTGATTTCACAAAATGTACTCTTGATAATGTCACGGTTATGAAAGAAAAAAAACAACTTTTGATCAATTGAGCAATAAACTCAAGATATTAACAGAATGGGTTGACTCAGTTAAGTCTGAAGTTTGACTTAATCTTTCAGGATATTTACAGAGAAAACTAATATTCTCAAGGGATACTTTTCAGGGACAATAATGAGGATAGAACATCTCTGTGTGGTTAATTGTCCACTATACAGTGTAGGCTGCTATTGCTGACACACTATCTGGGATAAAATTATGAAAAAAAAAATGCTGACTCGTGCAGTGGGAAAAGTTTCTCAAGTATTTTAATATGAAACCATAATTTCTAGGCACAACATGGATTAAGTCAATATGTTTGTGTTTTGAGTCAAATGTATTTTCTTATTAAGTTGAAAAAAGTAAGATAGAAACAGTTCAGGGTTGCTTTGGGTGTTTCCATCAGAAATTTTGCTCTGCATTAGTACATGGATAAGTCAATGGAATCTTAAGTGAATTATACAACAACCAGACTAATGTTTATTTAAAATTCCATTTTTTTTTTTTATACAATTCCATTTTTTATTTTTTTAAATATAATTATCCTGACTTTTAATTTATAAAAGTATTCTTTCAGCTGACATCATCCAGGGATAATAGCCCCGGTGACGTTATCAGCTAGGAAAGAGATGTGGGTGAAGAAGTGGGTGGCAGATTCTGCCTGAATCTCTTTCTTACATGACAGCAGGCGGAGAAACAGGAAGGTGCAAGAGGCAGCAATTCATTAGGGAGCAGCTTGGGTGCATTCAGCATTTAAATACATGTATAAGGGAGAATAATTTGGAAATATGACTCTTTTGGGTCAGAGCTCATTATAAAAGTGACAAGAACAACTCTCTGTGGCTATCAGAGGTATTTTAAGTGTAGAAAAAATAGGCATAAATGAAGATATGTCATTTGCTAAAAGTTTGTTTGTGCAAACAATCTGAGGAGCAAAAACCATCTGTGATAAACATAAAGTGGCTCATTTTACTTTTACTTATTTAGCTTTGCTAGAGGATCTTCTAAGGTCATCACTCATAGAAGCACAAGTACAAAGAACAATACTACATGAAACAGACTGAGATTACAAAGAAATCCATGGCATCAAAGCATAAGGACCAGAGTAAGAGGAATATAAACTGGATGGTGTTTAGTCAAAGCCAGTCCCAGTCCTTGTCTTTGTGCTCTGAAATAGTGGCCACAGTCGCAATATGACATGACCGAATCCACTCACATAATAAAAACAAACTAACTGGACATAATTCCTATGTTACAATTGTGCAGAGAAAGGAGACAAATGTCCTGAAAGCAACTGAAGTATTCCGAGATGTGGTGTAATTTAAGGGAAATATGGAGAAGTGAGGGTTTGTGGGAGTTATTTAATGCCTGGATGTCAGTGAAAGAGGTAGAAATAATTTATAAACAAGAGATACGGAAGAATCTAGTATCAGGATTCCAGCCTGATATCCATTTCAGTGATCCACATTGACTGCTGTCACTTTGCCTTCTCACTGCTGGCAATAAAATTGTCCTTCATTTTCTCCAAAATCAGTTGATGTGATGCATGTATCAACTAGAAAAACAAAATTACTTAGAAAAACAAAATCACTAAATAATATTTTTAATCTGTTCAGTTTATTAGCATTTACATATTACTGCTTCAGGGTAATTACGAAGTTAGTTTAAGATTATTTCTGCTTTAGTCCAATGTTTTGGTGCTTCCTTGCATGGAACTCACACCTCACTCTGCCTTTCCTCTCACTTTTTGACTTGATATCAAAACACAACAGAACAAAACACTAATTAAATTTTAACAGTAAAGGCAAAAAAACCCAAAAAAAAAAAAAAAAAACAAAAAAAAAAAAACAATAAATCAGTCTTGGTTGTGCTGGTTGTTGCATCACAGGCCATGTTCAGATCTGCCAAGCCCAGGCATTCTGGAAATGATCAAATCAAGCATTGCCATCACACTTAGGCAGAACTAAATATATGTGTGAAAGCACAAAAATCAGATTGAGAACTGCTTTCAGGCCGCCTAGTAACCTGATGACTAGACAATAGCGATGTCACATGGACATCTTTGCTTTAAAAATGTATATTTTATAAATAGCTTATTAAAAAAATCTGGCAATCCTGTTGGCCCGTTTAAAACAACCAGATATGTGAGGGAATAATTAAAGTTTTTTTTTTCTCCTGCTGACAGTTTTAATGAATTCCTTGTTGAAATCCTCATAAATGAAGAAACAATGTTCTATTGGGACTGATAAGGATAAGATATGGGTTTCTCTGCTGTAGGGCTGTTGTAAACGAATATTTTAGTAATCGAGTAATCTATCGATTATTCTTA